GGGTACTTATCATGCCTTCCAAAAACTTTCGTGAAAAACATAAAGTAAAAGGTGAAAAGAAAAGAGTCAAATAGGTGCATTATTCGTAAATTTTATTAGAAAGAAAATAAACAAAAGGCACGCAATGTCTGGTTTCATAATTGTTTTCATTATATTCATAAAGGATAAGAGAAAAAAGGTGAAAAGAAAAGAGTCAAATAGGTGCGTCATTTGGATTCTCTCCATTTCTTAGAAAACTTATTTTTTCCTATTATTTTTGGGGTTAATTTTACGAATGGTTCCTTCACTTATTGTTTATTACATTAAAGTTAAAAATTAATAACAGAAAATAACACAATAATAATTATATATCACATAAAATAAAAAACGTCAAATGCTAAATCAAGTCTTGAAAGCACAAGTAATCTGTCATTTAAGCAACTCATTTTATATAATATCCACATGACATCAGTTAAAAAAATTTATTTTCTAAATCACTCAAAAAATAAAATTCAAAAAACACATGTTATATCATACTATTATATAAGATTATTAAGTTGGTAAAAAAGTAAAATCTTTGTTATTTTCAAGTGATACTACGTGAATATGAAGTAGCTTAATCTCTGTTGCAATCTAAATAAACAACATTTTGGCAACAAATCAGAAAAAAGAAAAAGAAAAAAGCGCGGGAAAGAAAACCACTGACAATGAAGAGTAGTATACATAAACCCCAAAACCCTTTTAAAAATGGAGAATAGGAAACGTCGCACTTCACCTTCCTGTAGAAAACAACTGATTCACGCTCCGCTCTGCTCTGCATCTTTGCGCAAAGTTTCTCAATGCCAAATATGGCATTTTGGGGTTTGATTCTGAACCCATTTTCCCCTTTTATTTTTCCCATTTTGTGCTTTGTCTATTTTCCTCCCATTTGTTTGATCAAAGAGAACTATATGGAAAATTTCTTTTTATGTAAATGCATTCAGTTCATAATGGTAATGTTTGACCATGTGTTGTCAAATTATGTGATTTGTTCTTTTATTTTTGAATTATGTGAAAAAATGATTGGCTCAAACTTAATTTCTCTGTATGTAGCACTAGCAGAAAGGTCCAATTTTTATGATCAATTTGATTCCAAGAGTTTGTGTCTTCTCCTTCCTCAGGGGCTTTTATAGAACCAGGGAAACCTTACACACTACGGTTGCATAATAATAAAAGGCGTGTTCGGATTTCACAGGTTTATTTAATTTATCAAATGAGTTATCTCCTTTACTGGGTAAATGTTAAATTTAAAAAAATGTAATGGAATGAATTTAGATGGTGATTGCAGGCAACACTGGGGGAGCGTAGTGGATTGTGGAAATCAAGATCTATAGTTCGATGTGCCATTGGCAGTCAACCTCCAATTTCGATCTGCTCATTGTGCAAGGAATTTCATTGCTGTCAGTTGGATCTTGAGTTCGAGGAGTTTGATGATGTTGTTTTCTCAGTTGTCGGTCCACGTGGCATCCACCTTGCCGGTTATTACCTCCCTTCCAACGGAACCAGCAGTAAAAGTACTGGAACTGATGAACTTGGAGTGTATCCTTCATTCTTGAGTGTAGTTTTCGGTTGTATACTTTGGCAGCATTAGCATAGCATAAGAAAATTCACTACTCTTTTTACTTCTCTAAGATGAACTAAACCTGTACCAGCACTAAAACAGTATACATACTATTGGATTAGGAGATACAACTGGTCGATTTGAAAAAAAAAACTCCCCC